TTTTAGCTGTTGCTTATCATTTTTGTATCTCTACTGAGATCCAGCCATTGTTTCCCACAGCATTGTTGTTTTCCAGTATTTTGCCTTTTAATCTATATATATATATATATATATATATATATATATATGTTTTACAATTAATTATAATTATTTCTAATTAAATTATTTAATATATACATAATATACAGTATATTATATAGGGGCTAGGCATATATATACAGTAATACAAAAAATAAACAAATATTAATAATAATAATAATAATACCGTACGATCACATCGAAGAGAAAGAAATGGAGAAAGTAATTAAGTATCAGGATTTAGCAAGAGAACTGAGGTAATTACGGAAAATCAAAACAGTGGTCATTCCTGTTGTAATTGGGACATTTGGAACAGTTCCAAAGAAATTAAGAAAAGACTGGAACAAATCGGTATAGAGACCAGAATAGATGAACTTCAGAAAAAAGTGTGATTCTGAACATGGCAAGGATCCTCAGGAAGGTCCTAGAGGTTTGAGGAGACTTGTCACCAAGCTTCAGCAATAATGTAATTCCATTGGATATTGATCCAATGTGCGATACCAATAATAATAATAATAATAATAATAATAATAATGATAATAATAATAATTTTAAGATAGTTTGATTAATGAGGTAATAATAAATCAGCATATTAAATTAACTTATATCCATGCAAAACCTGCTTTTAAATAAAGATGTTATCTATTTTATTCTGTAAAAAAAAAATAATCTTATAAATTATAAGTTTATTTTCTGTGATAATTTTATCCACATAATAATGTTTTCAATGTTACTACAGTTGATAAATAATATATATAATAATAATAATAATAATAATAATAATAATATAATAATAATAATAATGATAATGATAATGATAATGATAATGATAATGATAATAATAATAATGGTAATAACAATAATAATAATGAAGGTGCTCGAATAATGCTTTAATAAAGAATTAATAATACTTTAATAATACTATTTACGATAGTGTGATTAATGAGATATTTGTTGATTAATTTAAAGAAATATATGATAGGTATACACCATTAATAATGATTCAGCATATTAAATCAACTATTCATCTATGTAAAATCTGTTTTTTTGTTCAATAAATTGTTACCAATTTTATTCTGTTTCAAAAAATAATCTTATAAATTGTAAGTTTTATTGTAAATTCTGTGATAATTTAATCCACATAATAATAACAGTAGTAGTAGTAGTAGTAGCAGTAGCAGTAGCAGTAGCAGTAGATAGTAATAGTAAAACAACAGTAATAATAATACTTCAATTTACGATAGTGTGATTAATGAGATATTTATTTATTTAAGCTTTCTTTAACCAGGGGGTATCCATTCAGTGACTAGCACTGCTTTTCAAGGAAGCTCTGGTACATACAGTGAATATATCCACACACACAAAAAAAAAAGAAAAAATAATTTTTACAATTATGGAATTCAAAAGTAACTAAAAGTAAATCAAAAACAACAAGATAGCCTAAAACTGAAAAGAAAGCAGACAAATGAAAACTACCAAACCAAAATAAAAAGGTACAGTCTAATACTAAATACAGATAAAGGCCTCTTTTTTAAACATATTAATAGAAAGAGCATCAAAATTGTTACGAATGTTGTGAGAAAGATTGTTCTAAAGGTGAGCTGCTCTGTTATGAAAAGTACACTCACCCCAGTTTGAATTTGCATATGGAACAACTAGAGTATTTGATATTTGATTCCTAGTAGGGTAGGAATGAACAGAGTGGGTGAAGGTGAATTTTGAAGACAGATATTCAGGGGCATTACCATTTAAACATTTAAACAAGTAAGTAAAATTTGGTTTGTCCATCGATCATTTAGTTTAAGCCAATGAAGAGTAATCATCATATCATCCACTGGAGTTCTAATATCGGCTGATAATAAAATTCTTGCAAATCGATTTTGCTGCTTTTGTTATTACAGTTTGTCCAAATTTGACTACAATAATCGAAATGAGGCATTATTAGTGCCTTACCAAGCATTTTGAGAGCAGAATTTGGAAAGTACAGTAAGCTTTAACATGGCGAATAATACCACAACGTTTTGCAATTTTTGAAGAAAGATACTCAATATGATGATTCCTTTAGCTTTATGAGTCAATCACCTTGTTATCCCATAACCATTATGCCTTTCTAGGCCACTCATCCACTACATTTTTTTTCATCTATTTTACCACTCACCACACTTTGCCATTATAGAAACTCCTTCGTTCCAAATCCATTCACCTTCATAATAATAATGTTAATAGATCATTGTTGCTTAAGTGCAATTTTGGTCTAATTAGTTAGGTTTAAAGTGTAATATTGTTTAATAATGTTTAATATTCTGTTTGTACTCTTTCTCATGAATATATATGAGCAATTTCACAGTAAATAGACATGCTCCAAGCAATATTTTTAGGAAGCTATAACTAAAGATTTTATTGTTTAAAATTAAATATTTTTACATTTATATTATCATATCAATGAGTATACATATTAAAAATCATTTCATGATCACACAATTCACAGTAAAAAATATAATGATAAATTGACATAATTTTTAGCCATATTTCACCATACAAAAATGTTACATGACAAAAATGTCTAAAATTAGATGTAGGATATTTTTTTTAAATTGTATTATAAGGATGGATTCATTATTTCTATTGGAAATATATTGGAAACTAATAAGATAAAACACTAGAAAGAAAAATAAAACCCTTTTTTATTAAAAAAATATGCAATTTGATGGTTTTTGTAACGGACGTAACATTGTATGTCAAAAAATTTAGGAAGTTAAAAATGGCCCAATATTCCTAAAAAAGAAATATATCTGTTACTTTTAAATGTTTATCAAATTAGTGAATATATACAGTAAAAAAATTTTTTAAAAAATTGGTAATCATACATTTTATTTTTGGGGCATCCACAATGGAAAGTCATTGACCCAAATGTATGTCAAAATCCTGTTCGTCCGTTACATGGGAATAGGATTTGTAGTGTATTAAAATACAAACATGCATATTTCTTTTGAAAAGATAATTTAACTATCTTATAATAACCCTTTTCCAAAACATTGATATCATATGTTCTGTTCCACAGAGTTTAGCCAAAATCATCTGTATTCTATTTTTCCATGAAAATGTTAGGATATCATGTCCATTTACTGTGAAATTACTCACATTGTTTGCAAGTGCTCATAGTTTTATATTTTTATATCCTGAGTTGTCTTTTGTTTATTACCATATAGCACTTGTAACACTGCCAGTGGAATGTAATTTCTGAGTTTTTCCTGAATCTTGAATTTAGGCTTCATTTGCGCTAACCAGCGCTGTAAAGAATGAGATTTGTTATGTTCGTCGAGTGTGCGTTCATAGCTTGGCCTAGCAATGAAATATTCCATTGTAATGTACTGTAATAAAATCACCCAGCTTTGAGATTTTTTGTCATGAGACGCAAAATATCAGAGGCGCTATATAAATATACAGTAGTGATCAGTTGGGAATAAGAAAATTCAGTGCAAATAAAAGTAATGACATCTTCACTCACTTATAATAGATTACCTGCACCTGAAGAATCATGGTGTGTATTTTTAGAATAAATTTTTAAATGCTGTGTGAAAGTATACATGATTCTGTGACTCTTATTTTCTCTGTAACAGTTGTACCTGGTGAACCAGTTGTGACCTGTCCAAGTAGTTTTCATACAGGTACATCCCCAGGCCAATCAAGAGGAACTGAAACTTGGAGTCCGCCAACAGTAACTGATGATATTGACACTGGCTTGTCAGCTACCTGTACCCCACCTTCTGGCTCATCATTTCCTGTTGGTGACACTACTGTTACGTGTACTTCAACTACTGACAGCAGTGGTAATACTGCTTTCTGCACCTTCACTGTAACCATCATGGGTAAGTGTTGAGCAATTAATAATATTTACAATTACTTGAGAAATTAGTAATTTATTAATAATGCGTTGTGATATATTGTGTTTGTTGATTTAGAAAAACAATATAAATAAGAATTTTAAAAGAATTCATTAATTTAATCTCCTATTAAAAAAAATAAAAGATTTACTTGTCATGTGCAGTCAATGGCGGTTAAGATGCTTTCTTTTTAACACATTGGTTCTGTGACACTAGGATATTTCTTCATTATGAAATTACATCTTCACTCTGAGCCCTGTATTAAATATAATAGGCAGTTATCGTATAGTAATGTCGGGGGTCTAGGGGCTTTGTGAGGCCTGCTGGAAGTTGAATGAGGTGTAAGTTGTGGAAGTGGGAGAGTTCCCCCACAAGGAATGGCCTTTTAACTTTTTTAGATTTCTAATTTTATAACAAACAGTCAAAACATGTTATATTATACTATTGTATATTTTACTATAGTGGCCTGACAGTGAAGGATATCTTGTGGGGTTGAGTGATAGGACATAAGTGCAGTGTGGGAAGTGAAGCCAAAAATTGATGGACTTTTTAATCTATTAAACAAATGTTTACCAGGAGGTTGGGCCAACCTAATGACCCTAAAAAAACCTCATCAACCACATTCAATTTATTCATCATCTTGTATTACTAAGAGCTGTGCGAAGGGTGTCAGTGTGCGTTCTACTAACAAATCATTCTAATACGCACTGCTAATCTGTACACACACAGTATAATGTATTGATCACTGAGCAACCGGTCACTGCAACCAGCAGTTTTTTTATGATTATAGCATCCAATCTACAACTAGCAGTTTGATTAAAGGACCATAGAAAAGGTGACAACAACTGACTTATAAAGCAATTATAGTCAAGTAATTTCATACTCTATACAAAATAGAAATCCTTCGGAGCCATTATTTACTTAATTTAAAAAAAATTTATTTATTTATTTATTTTATTTAATTCCTTCAGGCCAAGGATTACCGATAACGACTTAATCACTGTCCTATTAGATAGGTGGCAATCACTTCATATGACATAAACACATGATGCTTTACATAGACCAGTGTCATTGAGGCTTATGGAGTGAAGTTGTTTTGGTCGTGAGAAAAAATCCTGTTACCATGACAGGAATTGAACCCAGGGCCCTGTGATTAGACAGCAAACATCTTAACCTCCAAGCTATTCAACTCCACTCTTCAAAAATTGCATTTAAGCCCTGCGGGCTTCGTGCAATTTTTTCAGTAAATAATGGTTCTTTAGATGTTGTATGGTGCAACGGGAAGAATACAACCAACCAACATTAATAGATGTAATATAATTTATTTCCAGTGAAAAAAATGCTTATTGTAAGCTACAAAAACACTTGGCTATTGATGAAATCAAACAAATAAAATATTGCAAAGTACAGTTGAGGTAGTAATCCGAATGAGAACAATGTGAAAAAGTGTATAGCAATAGGAATACTGTGTTATATTGGGGTAGCACTCCTTATTATATTTGGAATGATTCAAAAGATGATGTAATACTTGACCAATATGAATTAAGGATGATTACATGATGTCATAGTTTTAGTTAATAAAAGTGGGATAAGTTTATCATGGTACATTCCTGACTTATTTGTCATCTAAGTTCCTGGTACCATAAGGAAACAGGTTGCTGCCCTTAGTTGAACTTAAGCTGAATATAGCAATAATACAGTGTAATATAAATAGAGAAAGGTTTACAAATGAAATATGAAAGATTATACAAAATTCAATATTGCGGTTTAAATACAATTAGTAGAGACGGTACAGTTCCGTAGGCTAGATCTATTTCCTATAGCGTACTCATATGACTATAATTGGATATTATTATTATTGTATTTAAAAACAAAATAACAAGTCTTTTATATGGAGCAAATTTAATTGGCAGCTGCCCTCAGTATAGTTCAAATTAATCCTGACAAACATGTAAAAATATGATCTTCACTATCTAATCATAACCTTGTGTGTAAATAAGAGAACACTAGTGACTACTGTAATCCACTAATTAGAAAAAAAAATATCGGAAACTAAATTAATGAAAACAATTTTGTAAAAAAAAAGTTCAATTACTATTTGAATACAGAGTAATCAATCACCTTTAATAACTGTTTTACTAGATAATGAACTTCCAAGTGTAACCTGCTCTGATGATATTACAGTGAATGCTGCAGCTTCAAATCAAGCTACAGTGACCTGGATTGACCCAGCAGTCAGTGACAATGTTGATACTGGTTTGTCAGCTACTTGTATTCCATCTTCTGGTTATTCATTTAATGTTGGTTCCAATTCTGTTATTTGTTATGCTACTGATGCTGCTACTAATGTAGGCAGTTGCATGTTTGTTGTCAACGTTGAAGGTAAATTATATTGATTTGTCTATTGTTTATTGATGATTTGAAACATTTTGCATTATTGTAAAGTTTGCTTATACATCTCTATGGATTTTTTAGGACATTTATATTTATGATTATATGTCTAAATATCTCTTAGTATTTTTTTCATTTATATTAGCATATTCATTAACTGTAGATGACTGTCCAGGTTTTTAATGTTTTTTCTTATGTTTTTGGGATTGTGTAATTCTAGGTTATGGTGTTGTTGACAAGTAGGCTCACAGCAAGTGTCTTTGTCTACTGCCCTCTATTGATGAATGTTGCTATTCATCCTGAAAATTTTGATAATGTTAAAGTAATGAATAAATTGAATACTGGAACTTACTACTGTAGTGGTGTTCAGTCCAGCTCCCCTGAACTAATTACAAGTCACAATTATTCAAGCAGATTTAAATCCCAATGTGACATGGATGATCTGATGACATAGCTACATACTGCAGCCTGAGGTTGACCCAATAATGAGAATGAACCATTAGGCAAAACTTTTTTTATACCTTATTTAGCGAACCCGCCGACTGCAAATAATGATGATTTTGAATAAAAATAAATTGTATTTTTGGCCAATTAACGCACCCACCGCCACGAAAAAGTGGAAACTTCAGAAAAAAATAAACGTTTTTCTTTATTTTTATTATGCCCTCCACTGCCTTGAAATCTCCAAAGATAAGATATGTATTTCTTCCTAATTATATAAATTTGAAGCATTTAACCATCCTATCTTACATTCACAAATAATATTTTATTTTTATTTTCTCCTACATCTGGATGTTTTTGGAAAAACCATTTGCTAAATAAGAAAACAAAATTTAATTTTTATTTTTATTCCACCCTCCTCTGATGATCAAGGAACAAGGAATAAAAAAAGTCTTGCCTCAATAACTAAAAATGTTGAAAGTTTGTTATCGCCAGGTTACCGAAAAATACATAAACCTGATCAAATTCCTATTAGACAGTATTTTGTCCAAAGCCACAGGTTACTTTAAAGTAAATGGCATTTGTTTTAATTTAAATTTCAGTTTATTTTTGTATGTCAACTGTTATCAGCTAGTCTATGATTGTTTCTATGCTAAAAATGGATTCCACCATGTCTAAAGTTTGTACCAAAATAAAATATTAAATTGGGGATGAATTGAGACACATTCTCATACCTTTTGTCTCAAGATGGTCACTATTATTTGTTTTAGCATACTGTATATTTCCTAGATGCCATATAATGATATAACTGTGAGTATAATAACAACAATATGGTAGTGATTTCAAAATGTCTGTTTATCTCTATACTATAAATGCTTTTTTTTTCACTAACAGTGCCTGTACCTGAAGACCCAGTTGTGACATGTATTGATAGTGTTATTGTACAAGTTACATCCCCAGGCCAAGCAACAGGAACTGCATCTTGGAGTGAGCCAGCAGTAACTGATAATATTGACACTGGCTTGTCAGCTACTTGTACTCCACCTTCTGGTTCATCATTTCCTGTTGGTACCAATACTGTTATGTGTACCGCAACTGACAGTGATGGCAATGCTGGTTCCTGCACAATTATTGTTATTGTCTATGGTAAGTTTTGCTCATTTGTGAAACCATTTGTAATATTAAGATAGAGTAGAACCCTTATTCAAAGGACACTTTTTACTTTAAGTGAGTATATCTTTTAACACTATGGCCAAACCCCCTTCCCCACCCCATTAGGGCAATAGGGACACTTTTTGAAATGATTAAATAATCGTATTTTTAACCCTGGAGTAAAAAGCGACATTATTGTTGTCTTTTTTTTCCTGATCATAAAGCTGGTTTTCTACTAGGTGAATTTATTCGCGTGAATCGAAAGCATCGGTTCATGTGCATGCCCGTTCACATTCCTATTAGAGTTTTTGCAAAGCGAAAAAATGTGCAACCAATCAGAGATGAGGAAGCGAACCAACGCTTTCATTCGCGCAAATAAATTCGCCTAGTGGAAAACCAGCTTTAAGCTGGGCACACGCTGCGCCATACAATTGTTGTATGGCTGTTGGCAGGTGAATCCATGTCCACTCTCTGTAAGCGCTTCATACATCTGCTGATAGTTAAAGCCCCATTCCCGGCAAAATTTCACTAAAAACTGACTTTTTTTAGAAAATATTCATTTGCATTACTCCAATTATTATAAATCATGGAAAAATATTGGCATGAATTTTAGTTTAACGCAAAAGAATTAAAAAAATGAGAAATACAGACTATTTCTCATAAAATATTACCATTTTCTGAACGAATTCATCGTTACTAGGCAAATTCAGAGGTTGTAGATCGCATCCACTGGAATACTCTCGCTTTTATACTTTTATACAGTCAATAAAGTGTGCCCTTCTCTAATGAGATTAGTTTTTGTACTTCATATCTCGCATAAAGCTGAGATATGTTTGTTTAAGTGTCAAAATCTCAGTCAGAATCAGTTTTATTAACAAATTTGAAATAATTCCTATGAAATATTATATTTCACAAGTGTCAATACTAGCAACGGAAAATATCATGGCCGTTTTGATCTGTGATAACAGAACCTAAATGGAGGTAAGGCTAGGCCTAGCCTAGCAGCGCTGGATAGGCTAATGTTTTCGGCGCCTACGATATTTCTTCTCACGACCTATCGCAAAATCAAAATGAAAAATTCATCCGCATTTATTTTTTGTGTGGAACACAAAAAAAAAAATCAAATTTCAGTCTTATTTTACATTTTTTTCATTCTTAGGAATGTCTAAATTCAGTTAAACTATCAATTGCATATTATATTTATAAATAACATTATACAAAAATTAGATTTTTCTTAAAAACTGAAATTTTGCCGGGAATGTGGCTTTAATGGCAGTCTGAGTAGATCATTGTTAAAAACTTTGCACATTTCATTCTGTTTTGTTCTCTGTGGAATCGTGTTTGCCGACAACCGTCAGACACAGTGTGTACCTGCCTTTAAAATGTATATTATAGGTCCACTGAGTGTGGTTATTCGTTTAAATCTTTAATCCTTCACATTAATGGATTTTTTTTTTTCATGGTAGGCCTATTGTTCATACCAAATCAATTTAATTCGTGCTCCTGTAGTTTTTCCTAATAAATAAATATTAATGTAAATTATAAATTCAATTTAATTCAATTCAGTTCATTTACATAGTGAACATTGTCAAGAATCAATTTTATTTTATTATATATATTTTAACATATCAAAGAAACATTAACATAAATTTTGATTTTTTTTTTTTTTTTGTATAATCTTGTTTGTTTTTTTTATGTTCTAGACATAGAGAGTCCCAATTTAACATGTCCTGGTGATATTTCTATGAGTACATCCTCAAGTCAAGTTCCAGTGACCTGGAATGACCCAGCAGTCAGTGACAATGTTGATACTGATCTGTCAGCTACTTGTACTCCATCTTCTGGTTCATTATTTGTTCTTGGTTTAAATGATGTCACTTGTGGTGCTACTGATGCTGCTGGTAGCACAGGTAGCTGTATGTTTACAGTTAATATCATTGGTAAGTCTCCAAGGCCATGTTTCTGCAGCAAGTATAATTTCTCTGTATAAGAGATATAGTTTGGTAGTCTACCCTAATTGACACTTAAAGACAAGTACCATTTTCCACAACCTAACTTTGTACCATAACTGTTGGAGAATATAGAACCTATCGATCTCCAAATGAGTGTCCATCTGCCCCACAAAGACGAACTGAAGAGCATTTGGAAAATAAGATGCAAGAGAACTAGTTTGGTGGACTACCGGTACTTTTGAAGTGAAGCACAGTACCATTTTACAACACCCAACATTGCGACTGTTAGAGAATACACTAGTAGCAGTAGAACCTTCAATCAAAGGAGGGGGGGGGGTGCGAGAGTAATTTATGGAGGGACGTGCGCCCTCCTGCGCACCCCCTAGATACACCACTGCTGTTGCAGAATACACCAATACCAGTGCAGCCTATCGTTAAATGAGTGTCCTGTCTCACAAAGACGTCTTCAGTTCTTTTTGGTGGTGCAAGAGTCATTTGATTGTAGGTTCTGCTATTAGTGTACTCTCCAACAGTTGCAATGTTGGATTTTGCAAAATGGTGCTTTTTCCAGTGTCAAACAGGGTACCGGTAGTCCATCAAATGAGTTTCTCTCACATTTTCTTTTCATTCTTCAACAGTTACAAAGTTGGGTTGTGGAAAATGGTTATTGACTCCCAATATCAATAAAGGTAGACCACCATACTAGTTTCTCTAAGCAATCTGATTTCTGTCTTTTCCACTTGCTCTTCAGTTTTTCTTTGGGGGAGAGGAAACTCATTTGATGATATATCTGTACTTTGTATTGGTAGATTTTCCAACAGTTTCATTGTAATTGTGTTGTAGAAAATAATACTTGGCTACCAATATCAAACTGGGTAATTCACCAAACTAACTTCTTATGACATACCCCACCAGCCATAACTGTTTTCTAATGAGGAATATTATAATTTTGCGGCCATTTTGGCGACCATCTTGCAAGTGGCTGAATTTCACTTTTGGTGGTACAAATGTATGCTCATAACATTAAACATCTCAAATCGCAGACTAAAAAAAGCCACTGGTCTATGGAATGGAAGTGAATGGTCAATATTAATTTGGCAGATATTTTGGCGGCCATCTTCGATCTCTGCAACCGGTAACAGCTGAAATTGACTTTTGATGGTGCTACTGTATGTCCCTATAACATTTCAAATCATGGAATAAAAAGCAGCACTGTTTAATATAGAATATTAAGAGAGTTATGGTCAATATGACAATTTGGAGGCCATTTTGGTGGCCATCTTGGATTTTTGTAACCGCTAATGACTGAAATTGACTTCTGATGGTTCCACTGTATGCCTTCATTTTCTCAAATCAGAGGCTAAAAAGTCACTGTTCTATATGGAATAAAAGGGTGTTATGGTAATTAAAATTTGGTGGCCGTTATTATTATTTATTTATTTATTAGATCAATAATGTTTTTAACAATATAAAATAAAGATATTTGTTTAGATAACAAATGCCTAGTGTTCTTTTGCCGAGTAACCAAAAATTGATGATTTATCACAGCTACTTTGTATTCAACTTAGCCGAGATCGACTGTAGCAATACAACAGCATATCTGTATTTAGTAAATTGGAAGGGAAGTGATTGCAAATCATACTAGCATAGATTTTTGAAAAACATGGCAATATGTCAGTCAAAAAATCATGAGCCTGCAATCAACACATAACATGATAATAGCATTGTAGTATGACAATATTATGCCATGGGTTGTCAAAGAATAATGAAGTATAAAAGTGGTTCACCACCTAAAAATGTTTGAAAAGGCATGCAGGTTATTCAAAGCCCAGGCACAACTGCTTCGGTTGTCTGTTGGCTGATGGTCAGCCAATAAATCCATTTTTACTCTGGGTGAGCACTTGATGTCAAAACGATGTCTGCTGATTGTCAGTGGCCGGGAACCATAGGGGAAGTTGGAACATCTTGTCACCTTGAAGTCTCCATTGAAGTGTTTGCCAACCATTAGCTGATGCAATTTCTGTCTGGTTTTACATGTTTAGTTTATTAATCTTTGGCCTCCAACATTATATTGTTCTGCCTATTTATAGTTTATTTTATTTTAATGACATATTTTTCCACACTATTTACAGAAGACAACGTAAATCCTAGTCTGATATGCCCCAGTAACGTTGCCATGAGTACATCCTCAAGTCAAGCTACAGTGACCTGGAATGACCCAACAGTCACCGACAATGTTGATACTGGTTTGTTAGCTACTTGTATTCCACCGTCTGGTTCATCATTTACCATTGGCTCAACTATTGTTACTTGTTCTGTTACTGATGTTGCTAATAATGAAGACAGTTGCATGTTTAATGTCAGTGTTGCAGGTGTGTTATAATGATTTGTATATTGAATATTATCATTATGAATAATAATTTTCTAAGCAGTGATTATATTAATTTTATATTTTTTATTTCATATTTTTATAACAGCAGCTGGGACAGATGCATGGGGGGTGCTCACCCCCCCTAAATTGTATTAAGAAAAATAATTGTTGTAGCATATTGTTGATATGAATTATTTGTAGGATTATTAAGGTATGAGAGTGAAATTTCAAGGACCTAGAGGTTCATATTCTCAAAATGTTTGCACCTCAGCCCCAACCATGTTAGGGCTGAGGTAATGTGGACTCTCACGCACCCATGGAAGCAGATCATGTGGGAAGAGGGGGGTGTCTCAGCTCCAACCATGTTATTGCTAAGGTAATGTGAACTCGCACACACCCTATGGACTAGGTTTTAAAGAAAGAGCGCTCTACTGCCAGAGTGCATCTTATTTTATAGCAAGATGCCGGTATCTCTGCCCACAAATATCTGAATTACCTTTAATACGCAACTTGAGTGCTCGTAAATTGATTCTGAGTGCACATGCCTTTATTATGATTTGAGAAATATGAGAAAAAGCGTGCAAAGAAAAGATTGGTTTTCGGCACATGAAGTAGATAATGTATAAAGTAAATACATCATAGACAATAAAGCTATTTTTTGTTTAACCACCTCAGCCCCACCACAGGTGGGGCTGTGATGCGTTTTGATAGTTTTGAAGTACTGTATGTAAAGTAAATACATCAAAGACAATGTTTTTATGTTTTATTTTCTATGGTACCGTACATCACACATATTAAGTAGATCTCTATGGTTGCCAAAAAAAGCTGATAAAAGATTAGGAATGAATTTTACTATTTGAAGGTGTCATATTTTTTGTCAATTTTACATCAAAAGGGACTATTTTCTCCAATGTTATCACCTTAGCCTCAACTGTGGTGGGGCTGAAATGAATGTGGACTCACAGTTTTTAAGTAGGTTAACTAAATACATCAAAGACAATGTGTTTAAGTTTTATTGTCTATGGTACCGTACGTCACACTAGGTCTCTATGGTTGCCGAAGATAGTTGATAAAAGATCATGAGAATTTGTTGGCGCTTCATTTTGACTACGGTAATATATTATAATGGTAATTTGATGATAATGAATTTTGCTATTTAAAAGTGGCACGTGCCTTTATTATGATTTGAGAAATATTAGAAAAAGCGTGCAAAGAAAAGATTGGTTTTCGGCACATGAAGTAGATAATGTATAAAGTAAATACATCATAGACAATAAAGCTATTTTTTGTTTAACCACCTCAGCCCCACCACAGGTAGTTTTGAAGTACTGTATGTAAAGTAAATATATCAAGACAATGTTTTTATGTTTTATTTTCTATGGTACCGTACATCACACATATTAAGTAGATCTCTATGGTTGCCAAAAAAAGCTGATAAAAGATTAGGAATGAATTTTACTATTTGAAAGTGTCATATTTTTTGTCAATTTTACATCAAAAGGGACTATTTTCTCCAATGTTATCACCTTAGCCTCAACTGTGGTGGGGCTGAAATGAATGTGGACTCACAGTTTTGAAGTAGGTTAACTAAATACATCAAAGACAATATGCACCCCCTACCACCAAATCCTGCATCCGCCCCAGAGCAGGGCACCTTCAAATATACAGGCTGGTGTGACTGTTAAAGAATTTGGTTTTATTTTCAGTGGGGAAAATGTGCTACAGTTACACAACACATTTTACATTTTATTCATCATTGTGTGATGCATGTGTACCGTAATGCATATTTCATAATGTGATATGTATGACATGTTGTGAATTTGATGGACATATGACAAACACTCATGACATGTGATACTGTGCGAGCTAGTCCACACCTCGAGTGCTTTGATACTTCTGTATAAAGTGCTATATATCCAATTACATTACATATTACATGTGATATATTTGCCATGGGATGAATATGACATGTAATACATGAAATGCGATGCATGCCATAACCTGTGAGATGCAGAATTACAAAAAGTGCAGGTTATGATCAACAAACTATTATACTTATTAATATAAAAACCCCTTTAATTACAGGTTCTTTGGGCCAACCCACTGTGATATGCCCTGATGATATAAACCAATTAGCTACAGTGACCTGGAGTGACCCAATAGTCCGTGACAATGTTGATAGTGGTCTGTCAGCTACTTGTAGTCCATCTTCTGGTTCATCATTTAATGTTGGTGAAACTGATGTGACTTGTTCTGCTGTCGATACTGATGGCAATAAAGCCAGCTGTTCTTTTAGTGTTAACATAACAGGTAAGGTCATTCTACTACAGCAGGGTATTACTACGGTATTTATTTATTTATTTTATTTATTTATTTATTCAATTTTATTGACCTATTTATTTTATTTTTATGTATTTGCATGTATTGTTTTGCATTTTTATGTGAAGAACATTTATATAATTAATTAAAAATGTATGAGTTACTGATTCAAATTTATTATTTTTTCACTATATTTTTGCATTTTAAACATTATAATATAATATTGTTTTCTCTTATTTATTATACCTTAATTTATAAGCTCTTTTGAGTTTTTTGTTCTTTTCATCATTTTATATTTTTTTAACATCATCTGTTTGTGTGATTGATGAATAAGTAAATTTGAAGTTTTTTGCAGTTTTTTTACAGTAATAATCATAATACTTAAATTATTTTATTTATTTGCATCTCATCAAACATACAACATAATATAGAATATTATAATGTTATACAGTATTTATTCCAAAATACTTTAATATATATTGTTTTCAGTGCTATATATAATGTTGTTCAGTACTACAGGATATTTTTAATTCTTAGAAAGGATGCATTTTTATTAATTTTTTTAAGGCAATTGTAATTCATCATCAATACCTGGTTACCTGATAGCGGTAGTAGTAATTGTTTGTGTCATCAACCTGCTGATGTCTCCAGCATTGATCTTCTTTTGCAGGTGTCTTGATGTATTCATGCTTTAGCTTTTTAGCTAAAATTCTTTTCGAGTGGGATCCATTTACTTCTGATACTAAATTTATTATAATAGAGGGTGGTTGCTACGTTTTTCTTTGTGTCATAAACCTTCTGCTGTCTCCAGCATTGATCTTCTTTTGCAGGTGTCTTGATGTATTCATGCTTTAGATTTTAACTAACAAAAATGTTTTTGTAGTGGGATCAGTTTACTTCTGATGATACTACATTCATTATAATATATAGAGGATGGTTGCTATGCCATTGTTAGCATTTACTTTTATCTATGCTTTAGAGCTCAAAGACCCATGACTATATTTAAGAGAATGCCATTAAATTCATTGACATTTAATATTTTTTTGTATTCCAAGTTGCCATGGTAAACCATGCCCTGATTAAATTATCAATGACACTCATATTTATATTATTTTATTCAAAATTTCTAATACCTGTAATATTATTGATTACAAAATACATTCAAGATTCATTTATTAACTTGTCTATAAAAAGATCCAAATGTATATAAAAATTTAAATTGTTTGTTTGAATACACACATTACCAAGTGCAATTTGAAATAATGAATATTAAAATATAAACACAAAATATATACAATACATTAAAAAATTAATCGTTAAAAAGATATTAAGCCCACAAATTACGTAATGTGTAGATTTATAATTTCCTTCTAATTTCTTTTAGTTTAGTATTCAGTACTTGACTTCTATTGTATGTATAGGAAAATGCTTATTGGAATAGCTTAATTGTAATATAAACCTACAGCTATTTACACTTCCTTAATGTGTAGAATTATAATTCCTATTTTCCTTCTAATTTCATTTAGTTTAGTATTCAGTACTTGACTTCTATGGTATGTATAGGAAAATGCTTATTGGAATAACTT